TGGGTCCTGGGACCCACTTCCCTCCTTCTCTTCCTCAAGTTGCTATATTCCAGTGTCTGGACACCAAATCTCAGAGAGGCTGTTTCTCTGCCTTTCTCCACTCCACCCCATCCTGGAAGCCCATGATATTACTTTTGTGGGCTTCCAGAATTATAGCTTTACAGTTTGATTGACATCTTTTTTTCCATATGGATTATAACTGTGAGAAGCAGGTTTTATCCAGACAATCTGAAAATTTTGCAGGAAGTTTTTTTGGTTTTTTTGGTTTTTTCCCTTGGTACCAAGGATCAAACTCAGGACCTTGCACTTGGAAGGCAGGCACAGCACCACTGAACTCTAGCCCTGCAGGAAGGTTGTAAAAGTTAACTTTTACTCAATGTTAGCTATAAACACTGGAATAAGCTATTTAATTCAACAACTCAATAAGATAGAGGAAGTATATTCCTCGCACTTCATCGGTTGAAATACTCTTACTCAGACTAAACAATTTGCCAAGAATAGAAAATAAAAACTCTGGCAGTCAAAGGTCCTCTTTAACCTGATCCTAAGAATCTGGCCTGCGGCCTTAATGTGATCTTACCGGAGTTTTAAAATCTTATGATAAAAAACATCTTCCAGGGAGCACCAGAGATAACACCCCAGGATGATATGGGCACTTGTCCTCTCAGGGTGACTTAGCCCAGACTGATTTGTATTCTCCCACCATGCCAGCTGAGTCTCAGACTACAAATTCTAAAAGCTGAAATTGGACTCTCTGAACAGTTGTTTTCCTATAAAAAGAGAGCTGAAATCATTCATGAGTTAAAAGGAAGGGGTACAAAAGACAGATTTGAAGGACAACAGAAAGTTAAAATAGGCCAAAAATAGTGCCTTTAGAATGTTTTTTTTGTTTTGCAGCACTGTAGATTGAATTCTGTGGGCATTGAACTATACCCCAGCACATTTTTATTTTCTTTTGAGAAGATCTCACCAAGTTGCCCAGGTTGGGCTCAAATTTGCATTCTTCTTGCCTCAGCCTCCCAAATAGCTGGGGTTGCAGGCATGTGCCATCACATCTGGCTTTTAGCATGTTTTAAAGTATACAACTGTTGGGCCAGAGATTTAGCTCAGTGATTCTGCCACCTACCTCGCAAGTGCAAGGACCCGAGTTCGATCCCTGGTACCAAAAAAAAAAAAGTATACAACTATTAAAAAAATTTAACTGAGGGCCGGGGATTTAGCTCAGTGGTTTCGCTGCCTGCTGCGCAAGTGCAAGGACCAGAGTTCAATTCTCGGTACCAAAAAAAAAAAAAAATTTAAGTGGGACATCATGAGTTTGGATGTCTCCAAACTTGGGTTCCTTGGGCTCTTATATAAGCAACCTGAAGCCAAATAGCAAAACAGAATGCCTAACCAGTCAGAAACCACCAGCTAACTTTTACTAGGATCTTTCGACTTTAACCAACCAAATATATATTTTTTTTGTCTTGCTTTGGTGAATGCCATATAAAACTTTCCTCCCCTTGTTCCCTGCACCTCACCCCAGAACACTGAATTGCTTGTGGTCTTGAGCCAATTTGTTGGCTCACAAATAGCTGTCTACTTGAAAGAACTGATTAAATTTCAATGTGCCTGTGTTTATCTTTTAACACAACTAAATATAGCTATAGCTAATAGAAACATGAGTTCAGCTCTCCTAGATTTGTACAGGTTCTCCTCATTGAGCCCTCTGTATACATTCCTTCTATAGCATTTCTCACACTGGCAAACTAGCAGAATAGTTCATATGATCACAGTGACCACATTGACGGTCAAGTCTCACACCTGTCGAGTCACAATCTCTGAAGGTAGGACTCAGAATCCATATTAGCAAGCCACCCAAGTGAGCACAGCATCCTGAAGTATGAGAGCTGGGGCTTTGCCCAGTTTATCCCACATACTTTCATGCCAGCTTTCCTAAACTACCTGACCTGGGTAGTTCACTTTCTTTAAGGGTCAGAGGTTTTCCTTGGTCCATGCATTGGATAACCCCGGTTCACATTTATTATTGGACTACTGTAGTTGTAGGTTTTTCTCTCCCACCAGATTCTTCTTGGTTTTTTAATTTTTGTTTTATTATTGGTAACTATTGATTTTACAAAAGATTCTTAACCCTTTGAAAACATACTTTGTTTTATTCTATTTTATATTCCTAGTTGTGGCAGTTCTTGACAGGTCGTAAGCCCTCAGAAAGAGTTGTTTAAAAAAAAGATATTAGGGCTGGGGGTTTAGCTCAGTGGTTTTGCTGCCTGCTGCGCAAGCGCAAGGACCCGAGTTCGATCCCCAGTACCCCCCCCCAAAAAAAACCAACAGATATTAGGGGCCAGGGATTTAGCTCAGTGGTTTCGCTGCCTGCTGCGCAAGAGCAAGGACCCGAGTTCGATCCCTGGTACCAAAAAAAAAAAAGCAGATAGTAGAAGCAGCTTGGTTCATTTGTTTGTTTGTTTTTTGTTTTTGTTTGTTTTTGAGACAGGGCTCCCTAAATAATTCAGGCTGTCCTTGAACATATGGCAATCCTCCTGCCTCAGCCTCCTGAGTGCTGGGATTACAGACGTATGCCACCACACCCAGATAGAAGCAGCTTATTTCTTGAAACTACTTGTGTAGTCTGTTTTCTGTTGCTATAACTGAATACCAGATACTGGGAAATTTATAAAGAATAGAAGTTTATTTGCCACATGGAGCTGGAGGTTAGGAGGTCCAGGAGTACAGCACCAATATCTAGTGAGGGCCTTGGTGGAGGACATCATGTGCAAGACAGAGCAGATAGCTAGGCTTGGTGGTGCACATCTGTAAGCCCAGCTCCTCAAGAGGCGGAGGCAGGAGGATCATGAGTTTGGATTACCCTGTGCACCTTAGTGATACCTTGTCTCAAAAATAATTACAGGTGTGGTGGCACACACCTGTAATCCTAGCATTTGGTAGGCTGAGGCAAGTGGATTGCCATGTTTGAGGCCAGCCTGGACTACATAGCAAGACCCTGTCTCAAAAAACAAACAAATATAATAAAAAAGCCAGACATGGTGGTGGATGCCTGAGGTCCCAGCACTTGGGAGGCTGAGGCATTAGCATAACTACAAGTTCAAGGCCAGCCTGGGGCTACACAGTGAGTTCATAGCCAGCCCAGACCACATAGCAAGACCCAGTCTCAAAAAACCCATAAATAAATAAGGGCTGGGAATATAACTCAGTGCTATAGTACTTGCTTAGCATGTGCAAGGCCCCGAGTTCAATTCTCAGGTTGTTTGATTTGGTTGGGTTTGGTTTTTTGAAACAGTCTTGATATTGTAGGTCAGGCTGGCCTTGAACTCACTGTGTATCCCAGGCTGGCCTCAAACTCTCAGTGATCCTCCTGCCTCAGCCTCCTGAGTGCTGGGATTATAGGTATGTGCCTCCATGCCTGGTTCAATCCCCAGTTTTGCCCAAAAAAAGCAAGCATAACATGAGGCACCAATGGGCCGGGGATTTAGCTCAGTGGTTTCGCCACCTGCTGTGCAAGCACAAGGACCCGAGTTCGATCCCCGGTACCAAAAAAACAAACATGAGGCACTACTTCTGATTTATTGCAGTGTTTGGTTCTAGTTTTTACATTTATTAAAGCATTCAGTTTTGCTTTCAATTTTACGTACCTTAGTTCCAAATTAGATCTGTGATGTGTACAGATAGTTCATATATATGCATTGCACATAATCATGCTATTCAGCATTGATGCTGTATTGTATTATGTAAATAATAAAAGCCATGTACAGAGGGAAACTTAAAAAAAAAAAGCAAGCATGGTAGCTGTAGTCTTTCTTCCTTTTTGTATAAAGCCACTAATGGGTCCACATCCAATTTTAGTTTCCTCTCAAAGGGCACGCCTCCAGATATCATTAACAGGATTGGGTATTAAGTTTCTAACCCATAAACTTTTGCAGACACATTGAAACCACAGCACTGTTTATGTGATACCATGATGATGATTTGTCAAAACCCAGTGACCCTAGTATACACCATAAACTCGGGGTGATAGGAAGTCTCGATGTAGGTTCAGTAATTGTAACAAACGTACGGCTCTGGTGGAGAATGGTGGTAATGGGAAGCTATGCAGGTGTGAGGGTAGAGAGCATGTGAGAAATCTCAGTACCTTCCCCTACATTTTGCCGTGAGCCTAAATCTGCTCCAGAAACAATCTTTTTTTGAGACAGAGTCTCACTTTGTAGTCCAGGCTGGCCTTGAACTCAAGATGATCTTCCTGCCTCAGCCTCTGAGTACTAGCATTACAGGCATACACCACCACATCCGGCTCACAAAATCTTTTTTTGTTGTTTTTTGTTTGTTTGTTTTTGGTACTGGGAATTGAACTCAGGGCCTCGTGCTTGCCAGGCAGGCATGGCACCACTGAGCTACATCCCCAGCCCCACAAAATATTTTTTTTTTGGTACTGGGGATCAAACTTGGGACCTTGCACTTTCGAGGCAGGCTCCAGAACCAAGCAAAAAAAAAAAAAAAAAAGGGCTTGGGATGTAGCTCAGTGGGGCTGCCGCCTGACTTGTAGCAAAAGGTCCCAAGTTCAATTCCTGGTACCAAAAAAAAAAGCAACTTACGAGGACTAGAGATGTAGCTCAGTGGCACCATGCCTGCCTGACAAGTGCAAGGTCCTGAGTTTGATTCCCAGTACCCGTAAAGTAATTAATTAATTTTAAAAAAGGAATTTATGAGCAAGTTATTAGGCTTTTGTCTTCCTAAATATGAAGTTTTTAGAAATATTCCTATATTTTTTCATTCCTGTATCCTTTTGTCTGTGACTAAATGACTTTCTATTAAAGAGCATAAGGAGGCACAAGAACCTGAGTTCAATCCCTGGTACCAAAAAAAAAAGAATACAAAAAAAAAAAGAGCATAAGGGGTTTAATAAGTAAATATATGCTAATTGAGTCCTTAATGAGGTAGATTTATTATTTTAACTAAGATTAATAATTCATATTTTGTTTCCTTTTCAGTGTGCTCATGGATACCATGAAAGAAGTATTAAAGCTGAATAAATCAGTAATGAAATTACAGCAGGTAAACTTGCACATTGGCCTAACTCTGCATTCTTAGGATTTCTGTGGCAACTTTTTGCTGGTAACATAATGGTAGTGGATATGATTAAGTAAGACTGCCCAAAGGGACTGGCATGACCAGAATTCACTCTCCTTAAAATTCCCTCTTTTTTTCCATAATCCTTATCTTTGACGAATGTTGCAAATTATCTATTTAAAATTTAAGGAACTTTCTTAAATTTTTGTTGTAGAGAAATAGAGAAATTGAAAATTGCAGCTTGAGAAACATAAACTAAAAATGAAACTCAGTGACTTAAGTAATATGCTTTAATGTTTTTTATCTCATTTTTTAAACATGTCTTTATTTTAATAACAGGAATCTTGGGAATTAGAAGAAAAACTACTTGATGTTAGAAAGAAGAGATTTCGTATGTAGAAACTTTTTCTTTTATGGTAGAGCACATTTTCAACTCTTGGAGATTGATATGGATGTCTTTATTTTCAAGATTTCTTAAAATTTTGAACATGGCAATTTAAAAAGTAGGATATGAAATGCATTTTGCTTTATTTTTGTTGCTTTAGAACTCTAAATCACAAAGGTAATATATTCTCAGTAGAGGAAGAAATCAAGATTCAGAAAATTATACAATATAAAATTGTAAAATCATACCTTCCTGTGTGACCTCGGTTTTATTTAGATCACTAGACATTCCATGCCTGTATCAACATTATATATACTTAATTTCTAAATTATCACTTGGTACATATGATTCCACAGCTTTTTCACTTAATTTATCATGACATGAGATTGGTTTTTGGGTCGAAATTATTGAAATGATTATTTCATCAGGCATGGCGGTACATACCTGTAATCCCCAGCACTTGGGGAGGCAGGAGGATTGCTGTGAGTTCGAGGCCAGCCTAGACTACATAGTGAGACCCTATCTCAAAAATTAAAAAAAAGATTATTTCAAAAGTAATACATATTCTCTGTCGAAAATTTATAGACTGGAAATATATATAGGAATAGTGAATTTTTTATGTTTTGTGTTGCTTTTTGTGTATGTTATTTTGGATTGAACCTAGAACCTTCATACTAAGCTACATCCCCAGCTCTTTTATTTTGAGACAGGGTCTCACTAAGTCACTAAATTGTCCAGGGTGGGCTCGAACTTGTGATCTTCTTGCCTCAGCCTCTCAGAGGGTCAATTTTTTCTTTTACTATAATGAGACAATCTTCAGTGCATATTTCTTTTAAAATTGTCATCATTTAGCCAGGCATGGTGGTGCACACCTGTAATCCCAGCACTCGAGAGGCTGAGGCAATAGGATCACCGCAATTTTGAGGCCAGCCTGGGCTACAGTAGTAGTAAGTTCAAGGCCAGCCTGCACTACATAGTGAGACCTTGTCTTTAAATAAAGTAATATTGTCATCATTTATTCTGTGTTACAAACTGCTTTTTTTCATTTAATAATATGGGTCTAATTTATTATTTTTAAACATATCAGCTTGTTTGTTAAAATCATCTCAGGAGATCTAGATTGTCGAAGACCGTTAGTCAGGGAGGCAGTGGCTAGCCCAAATTGCAACCCAGAGCCATGCCTTCCGGTAAAAGAAAGGGCCAGGGCCGGGAGGTAGGCTGAAACTACAGGGAGTGAGGAGGGTGTGCTGCAGGGTGACGGTTTCTGAAGCAAAGGAAGGTGTGGAGAATCGGCCTCTTGTTGTCTTCGAGGCTACCATGGCAACCACGCGTCACTGAGAAAGAAGGTCAGCCATGAGACTGGCATCACTCTGCACTCGAGATGAGGGCTTTCCGACTCCTTCTGATGTTCACACTGTTCATCTGGGCCCTGTTGCTGCTCAGCTGCTTTAAGTTTGGGTCGTCAGAATCCGTGTCTCTGAATGAAGTTAACCTGCAGAACAGTGAAGTCAGTGACCAGCCTCTGGAAAAAACATCCACTCAGGAAGTTCTGTTCAGTTTTTTCTTTTCAACAACCTGCATGATAAAGGAGAACCAAGAAGTAACACCTTGCAATAAGCTGCTAAACCTTACTGAGGCTTAATGTTTGAAATCCAAATGCTGTTTTTCAACATCTGTGACCAGGAACTGCTTTGTCCCATTAAGAGATAAGTCCCCACAGGTGACGCGGATATTTGGACTTAGTGTATTCAGCTTGCTTTTCCTGGGATGGATGCCCCTTTGCTGCTGCTATGTTTGGCAGAAGAGCCAATTTGTCAATCTTTTGCGTATGAGGAATGACAGAATGTTGAAGAGTCTAAAGAAGGAGAAAAAGAAACTGCAGGACAGTACTGAAGTGTTAACAACAAGGGAAGAGGAAGATGTTGATGAAGAGGAAAAGGAAGCCAAAGCATTGCTTTCCCATTGAGATGAATGCACGACTTCCAGAGCAGAGGAGACTGTTCCAGTCATCCAAGCCTAACAGTTCATTTTAGAAAGACAAAAATTTGTTCTTATTTTTGTCATCTATGCTCTCAAATATAAAATAAAGTTGATAGTTCTGTTTTTGTGCATCAAAAAATAATCATCTCAGGATCTGAAGTCATCATCTTGGTCTTTTTTTTTTTTTTTCTTTGAGGCAAGGTCTCACTGTGTTCCAGAATGGTCTCCACAATCTAGCAGTGTTATTGTTATAGGAGTGTGCTACCTAACTGTTGGTCATCTGCTTTTTGTTTTTGTTTGTTTGTGACAAGGCCTTACTATGTAACCCAGGCTGGCTTCAAACTCCCAGCAATCCTCCTGCTTCAGCCTCCTGAGTGCTAGGATTACAGGTGTGTGTCACCACATATGGACTGATCGATCATCTATTTTGATACCTTTTTGAGGTTTCATTTTTTTCCCATTGCATTCCAACCTGCTTTTAGTACATTAATATCGAGAAACAAGCCCTTAAGACAGGCACATGTATATTTACAAATTGGAGTGTAATTCTCAAAACATTTTAGGAGAACAAAAATGGTTGATGATATTTGTCACCTAGAAGGCAATCTTACTTTTCATTAAAATTTAGCTTAGCTGTCATTTTTATAAATAAAGGGAAGAAAGCTTCTATTTATATATATCTCCTACCTGTTCTTTTGGCAACTTAGAGTAAGTCCTGTTTTTCATGATGCCACTTCACATAGTTGTAGACAGCTGTCATGGTCACACATAAATGCCTTGAACATTTCACTGAGGGCATTAAAATATAGCTGGGGCAGTGGCACATGCCCTTCATCCCAGCTACTTGAGAGGCTGAGGCAGAAGAATAAAAAGTTCAAGGCAAATCTGGGCAATGTAGCAAGATCCTATCTCAAACAAATTAAGCTGGAGCCACATGCAGTAGCACACACCTGTAATCTCACCCCTCTGGGAGGCTGAGGGAGGAGGATCACAAGTGAGAGCCCAACCTGGTCAATTTAGCAAGACCTTGTCTCAAAATATAAAAGGGCCAGCAATGTAGCCCAGTTTGAAAGCCCAAGGTTAATTCCTCAGTATTGCAGAAAATGAAGTGAAATGATGGCTTATGGATGTGGCTAAGTGGTAGGGCAGCCCTGGATTTGTTTTGTTTTGTTTTTTATTTATTTATTTTTTGGTACCAGGGATCAAACTCAGGTCCTTGCTCTTTCGATGCAGGGGCCAGAATCACTAGCTAAATCCCCGGCCCTATGTTTTGTTTTGTTTTGTTTTTGAGACAAGATCTTGCTGTGTAGTCCAGGCTGGCCTTGAACTTGACACAATCCTGCTGCCTTAGCCTCCCAAGTGTTAGGATTACAGGCATGCACAAACACACCTGGCTCTGCAACCCTGGATTTGATCTCTTGTATTGCCAAAAAATTATTGTTCATTGTACTGGGGAAGTCATTTTCAGATCAAAATAAAACCTATAACCTAGCTACTGTTACTAAAATTTTTCTGCTGACTGAAATAACCAGGAAATATTCTGCTTTTTTAAGGTCTTTGTTTATAGAAAGAACTGTCATTTATAGTATGTTGTTTTATTTTAACCTAATAGAATTAAAACAAGCTTCAGAAAGTAAGCTTTTAGAAATACAAACTGAGAAGAAGAAACAGAAAGAGGAGTTGGCCAGTATGGAAAATTCGGACAAGATAAAGACCATGAAACAAAGCCTACAGAGGGAGATACAGATTGCTACAGTTATTCAACATGTGTTCCAGGTAACATTTATATAAATCAGGAAGAGAAGGGTAAAGAACTTTTTTAAAAACAGTTGATGTGGGCCAGGGATTTAGCTTAGTGGTTTCGGCGACTGCTGCGCAAGTGCAAGGACCCGAGTTCAATCCCCAGTACCAAAACCCCAAAAACCAGTTGATGTGATTACAGTATTGACTTACTTTAGTCTTTGATCCTGATAAGATAATTCAGTAGTAGGGCTGAGGACTACTACCATGGTAGAGCACTTGCCTAGCATTCGTGAAGCCTTGGGTTTAGACCCAGCACTGCAAAAATCATAGTAATTCAGTACTGACATTTCCTCTATTTACATATGGAAAATTCATGTACAGTTAGTGTTTCAGGCTTCAGTTTGCATTGTGGTTAGATATTAGGATTTTTAAATGGCTTGGTTTTTATAATTCTGGAGGCTAGTAGAGAGCTTTAGACTCCAAGTTTGAGGGTGAGGGGACACAGATGAAGGTGAGGGGACATGGATGAGAGTGACAGCCTTTAGGCTAACAGCCTGACTGCTATAGCTGGGAGCTTAGCTTAGAGCTCCTGCCTTGTATGTTCAAGGCCCGGGTTTTGACATTACCACCATCACAGAGAGAAATACTAGCATAGCATCAGTCCAAGTAAATTTGTAATATAAATGTTGGTATCAGTTTTTCTTTCTGAAACAGGGTCTCGCTAGTAGTAGTTGTGCAGGCTGGCCTTGAACTCACTGTAGCCCAGGCTGGCCTTCAACTCACAGCGATCCTCCTGCCTTGACCTCTTTTGAGTGCTGGGATTACAGGCATGCACTATCAGGCCCAGCATATTGGCATCAATTTTTAAGTCTTATATATTCCTTTATTCTGGAAGGTTGTCTGTCTATCTGTCTTGCCTTCCTTCCTCCCTTCCTTCCTTTCTCATTGAACCCAGTTTGTCCACACTGAACTATATCCCCTGCCCTTTTTTATTTTGACACAAGATCTCTCTAAGTTGCCCAGTGTCTCTCTCTTTTTTTTTGGTACTGGGGATTGAACTTGGGACCTTGCACTTGTGAGGCAGGCAGTGAAACCACTGAGCTAAATCCCCGGCCCCTATCTCTAAGTTGCCCAGAGAGGACTCAAACTTTCAATCCTCCTGCCTCAGCCTCTTAAAGTGCTGATATTACAGGCAGGTGCCACCACGTCTGGCTAGAGCAGTGATGGTGAACTTTTTAGAAACTGAGTCCCCAAACTGCAACTCAAAACCCACTTATTTACCATAAGGCCAACACTGCAATTAAACCTGAATACTGAAGTTTTAGTTCAGAAAAAAACTATTACCCGATCCTCAGCTGCTGGAGAGAAAGTTGGCTCATCTGCTATGTGTGTCTGCTGCATCACATGTGCCAACCGTTCACCACCACTGAGCTAGAGGCATTTTTTAAAACTACTTGTTGAAGAGCAGGGTATGGTGTTGCATGGCTGTAATTTCAGCACTCAGGAGGCTGAGGCAGGCGGATCACTTTGAGTTTGAGGCCATCCTGGACTACATAGTGAATTCAAAGCCAACCTGGACTACATAGTAAGACTCTCTCTCTCTCTCTCAAAAAAATTATTTGTTGAATTGTAAAATGTCTGGGAAAAATGTCTGTTGAGATGAAATACTTAAACTCTGCCTATTAAATATGAAGGGTATTCCGTCACCTGCCTCGCAAGCGCAAGGTCCCAAGTTCAATCCCCAGTATCCCCCCCACCCCCAAAAGAGAATGGACAACTGAAATGAATAGATACTTCTCAGAAGTAGTACAAATGCGGCCGGGCATTTAGGTCAGTGGTGCCACACCTGCCTTGCAAGCTCAAGGTTCCGAGTTCAATACCTCCCCAAAAAGTAGTAGTACAAATGGCCAATAAATACATTAAAAAATGTTCAGCACTGGGACCAGGAATTTAGCTCAGTGGTTCCACCGCCTGCCTCGGAAGCACAAGGTCCTGAGTTTGATGCCCGGTACCAAAATAAAATTTTAAAATGTTCAACATTGTTGGTTGGAATGAAAACTGATCCATCCACTATGGAGAGTCCTCAACAGACTAAAAATAGAAATTCTGTTTCACCCAGCTAGTACCTTCTAGGTACCTTCTCTCTCTTTTTTTTTTTTGTACTGGGGATTGAACTCAGGCCCTTGCACTTGCGCAGCAGGCGGCGAAACCACTAAGTTAAAATCCCCGGCTAGGTACCTTCTTGAAAGATTAAAACACATCATAGTCTGGTGATCCATAGATACCTATGTTTATAGCAGCACAATTTATAATAGCCAAAAATTGGAAGTAGTCTATATGCCCATCAACAGATGAATGCATAAACAAAATGTGGTGTAGGGCCAGGGATTTAGCTCAGTGGTGCCGCTGCCTGCCTCACAAGTTCAAGGTCCTGAGTTCTATCTCCAGTACCAAAAGAAAATGTGATATTTATAAACAATAGAGTATTACTGTGCCTTAAAGGACAAGCTTGAGTCATTTATAGAAAAATAAATGCACCTTGAAATCATATTGTTAAGTGAAGTAAATCAGATGCATAAACTTAAATATCACATGGTTTCTCTTATATGAGAAACCCAGGGTGTGGACCAGTAGCGCAGTGGATAATGCATCTGACTATTGACCAGAAGAAAAATAAGAGAAAATATAGAAACCCAAAGCATAAATAAATTAAAGAGCAAAATAAAAGATAGATAATAGGAAACAAGGGAGATAGATCTTTGGTAAATGGAAAGAAGAGCAAAAGGGAAAGAGAGGGAGGAGGTAAGATGAATTAAGGTGTGTTTTTTACATATACCCAATTCCCCATGAGGAATGTACTCATTATGTGCTGCAAACATGTACTGTACTAATAAAAATTTAAAATGTTTACATTTTAAAGAATAAAATTTTCTGAAAATAAATACATAAACAAGAAACACGGGGCTTTGTATCTCTCTGAGTCTTAGACGTGCTTTTTGGTGGCACTGATTGGGTTAGGAGTGACCAGGTACCTGAGGGCCACATCCAGTAAGGACGAAATCATGAGCCAGAACCCCTTCACTTCTCCTTGGCTCAGTTCTTTTACGCTGCTTTAAGACTTCTATTATCATTTATTTCTTGATTTTATTCATACCTTATGAGTGACTGTTAATTTGGATGTAATGAACTCATTGTTTTGTTAAATAGACCATAGCTTCGGCCAACTGCAGGAGCTCTCTGTATTCCTAAAATGGGCCTCTAAGGGTTCCCTCCTGACCAAATGCACACTTCCTCCTGCCACTGTAAATTCAACTGGGTTGCTTTACTCTCGCCCTTTCATTCACTGATAGCAAAGATATGCATTATATAGACCAAAGCTTGTAATGGTTTTATACCTAACAATTTAACTTACGTGTTTAACCAATTTAACTGGTTTTTATTAATGTTATTCTAATCATCCATATCCTTGAGCCCTAATTTTTCATAGAATAATGATCAGAATTTTAATCATGACCCTAGTCACTCCTGAATTGTCTACCACAAAGATTCTCTTCATCTTTTTCAGGGTCTTGAAACTTTGAAAGGGCTGAGAACTAAGTGTTTCTTCTACCTCTTTTGAAAATCAGAGTTAAATTGTGTCTTTCACCATAGAAGTGCAAAATGAACGTCTTTTCTCTCTAATCTAGGATAGCACCACAATATCCTTAAAAAGTCAAGGTTAGGGCCGGGGATTTAGCTTAGTGTTGCCAGCACCTGCCTCGAAAGTGCAAGGTCCTGAGTTCGATCCCCAGTACCAAAAAAAAAAAGTCAAGGCTGTAGGCTGTGGCTGTGGCTCAGTGATAGAGCACTTGCCTGGCATGTGTGAGACTGTGGGTTAAATCCCCAATACCCCCCACACACACATGCATGCACACCGAGCTGGGTATGGTGGCCCATATTTGTAAATACAAAGGGCTGGGGAGGTAGCTCAGGGCAAAGGCCCTGGGTTCAAGCCCTGGGACTGGGGTGGGGGGAGTAAAAGCTGTCCATGGAAACTGATGAGGCATTAAAAAATCATAAACATAAATATTCCCTCACCAAAGCCTCCTGGAAGTAGAAATGAAGATAAGAGGGTATTAGTATTTTCTCATGAATACAGAGCTACTGTACTTGCCTAGTAAATGTTCAAGAAAAATTAGGTAAGGTTAGTGAAGGGATTTGTTTAAAAATCTTGTTAAAATTTTTAAAAGTACTTATATTTTAAAAGATCTTTTCTTTTTAATTACAGAACCTCATTTTGGGGAGTAAAGTCAACTGGGCAGCGGATCCAGCCCTCAAAGAAACTGTTCTGGAGCTTGAAAAGGATCTCACCATGACCTAATACGAATTCTGTTTTGGGCCAGGTGTGGTGGAGCATACCTGTGATCCTAGCACTTGGGAGGCTGAGGCAGGAGGATCACTGCAAGTTCAAGGCCAGCAGAGAACTGTATTTTGCATTTTTGGCTTTTTGTCTTTGATATGTCATTTAAATAGCAAGTTTCAGATGAAATGAATTTCCACTGTTTTTGGAACTATCCTAATGCTGTAATTTTTTTTTTAAGCTTGAGTTAACACTATAGCATAGAATCGCTCATTTTAAATAATAGTAAGGTGACTAAATACTCAAAAAGGGGGAAAATCTTAGTCATAGAAAAAAGACATCTAGTCCAACCTGTGATGAATATGGACTTTTTTTGGATATTCCTGGCAGTCCTGGCTTTTATTTGTAATACTTATGTGCATTTATGCATTTGTCAATCAAAATACAGAGAAGTATCCAAACTGTTAAATTGTGATGATCATATTAGGATTATGAGTGACTCTTCTGTTCTCTCTGTGTCTCCCTGTCTCTGTCTCACACACACCTAATGGGGACTGCACCCAGGGAATGCTGAGCTACAGCTGCATCTATCCTCTTTTTAGTTTTCTTGTGAGACTCATCTTGCTAAGTTGCCCAGACTGGCCTCAAATTTGCAACCCTCCTGCCTCAGCCTCCTGAGTGGCTGGGATTATAGGCATGTACCACCACATCCAGCACAGCTCTGTATTAATTTTGAGCTGTTGATCATTTTTATGGACAATGTAGTGTTTTAATTATTTTTTGTAGAAGAAATTAAAACTTAAAAAGATATACTCATTGGCTAATAGCTCTTGAAATCTGTTCTTTAGTGCTTGCCTGGCAAGGGCGAGGTCTGGAGTTCAATCCCCCGAGAAAAACTGTTGGGCCTGAGTCACGACAGGATGTAAAGTCCGCAGAGGACTTTATTTCCGACTAGGACCAAATCCCCTGCAAGGAGACTGGCCCTGGACTGAACTTTTGGTCAGTTTTTATAAAGAAAACCCTTTCTGCCTCCCCCCCAACCCCTCCCTAGCCCTGCAGTAAGCATATCTACAGAAGTGAGAAAGAATGTGTGGTTAGCACCTCTGGGTTACCAGATACATAATGTAAAACCAGCCCTTATAAAATGTAAACACACATTACATGTGTTATTTACCATGGATCAGTTCCATATGCACCCTTGTGGTTGTTTGCCTAAACCCTTAAGCATCAATTAAAAGCAGGAGTATAGGCACGAGATAAGAACATCTTGTGTGTTGAGACATCACACAGGAGTACAAATGTGAGATAAGATTTCCCCTTTTTCAGAGTTCACACAGAGGACAGTTTTCCCGTCAGGACTGGGACAGTTCAGACAAAATGGAGTCTCCTAAGCTAACTTAGGACTCTCAAAACAAAACAAAAATAGCAACAACAAAAAAAACAAGATAGATCAATAACAGAAATACAGAGATTTGCCTAAGCTCAAATAGTAAGCACTTTTGCTTTTCTTTGAAATATTTATACTTTTGATAAATCATAATTTATGTATAGTTTTATTCTTTTTTTAATAAACTATTTTATCCCTTCCTCCCCAGCTCCCTCCCCTCCCTATGTACAAGTGCTTTGTTTCCATTTCTTTCTATTTGCACTTTTTTTCTTGTCCTTTTCTTTTTTCCCTCTCTCCTTCCTTGTTCCTCTTCCCATTTGAACACTTTCTTCCCAATTCCCAATATTCATTATACATTTTAGTCCTTATTTCCACTTTTGGTTTCTCACATCAGAGAAACAATGTATTTAAAATGTGTGTCTGATTTATTTCACTAAAGAGTATGGTCTCAAGGTCCATTCAGCTGTAAATGTCTCAAGCTCATCCTTCTTTATGGCAGAGTAGTATTCTGTTGTATAAAAAACCCACATCTCTTTTTTGTGTGTGTGTGGTATCAGGGATTGAACTCAGGACCTTGCGTTTGCAAGACAGGTGGCGGCACCACTGAGTTAAATCCCTGGCCCTAACCACATCCTCTTTATCTGCTTGTCAGTTGATGGGCATTTGGGTTGTTTCCAAGATTTAACTATCACAAACTGTGTTGCTATGAGTGTGCATATATCGCTGTAATATGATGCTTTTAATTCTTTCGGGAAGATACCAAGAAGAGGTATGGCTGGGTCAAATGGAACCTCTAGTTTTAGTTTTTTGAGAAATCTCAAAAAGGGCATTATGGAGTGGAGATATTTTCTGGGGCCAGAAAATCCAATTAGAAACTGGGAAAAGATATGAAGACCCAAGAAATAAGCACATGAAGTAATGTGACACCGTAAGACAAGCCCATGGGAAAATACTCAGGGCCAGAGCTCAGGGAGAAAGTGACAATGCACCATGGGGGGCCACTAAGCAGCAGTGTTCTGGGCTCCAGAAACACAGAGCCAGATCCTGGGCCTGCTGTGCCCAAGCCTGGCAGGTGGCCAGACAGGAGCCACAGCTTCATGTACCACTTCCAGTGGACACAGTCGCCCACACAGCCTGAGACAGGCTGCCCACGTCTGACTCACAATTCGCCCTGGCCCTCAGGACCACAAGAAAAAGTGAAGTTGCCCCCACCACCAAGGACAGGGTAAGGGGCCACATGCCCATGCTAGCTGGGCCTTCGAGGTTGGGCGTGGGTGTGTGTGCCCACTTGCTGCAATACACGCCCACCCTGGTGTTTAAGTCAGACTGGAGACTAAGATGTCACTGAAGTCGAGGGTTCATTGAGCTGTACATATGCTGGCCAAAAGATGAAGGGCCAGTCCTGGGACAAATTCCCTAAGCCACCAGTGGTATGGCCGGACAGGAGAACTAAGAGGCCAGGGTGTTTTATAGGAACCTGTTGAGGAGAAGAAATACACTGAGGCACCATTGTTGTGGCTAAATAGGGCAGGACCATGAGAAGTGGCCAGAGTCCTGGGTCAGAGGTGAGTCCACAAAGGGGTGTCCTTCCTGCTTCTGTGTTGGTGGTTTCTGAAAGCAGCAGTCACTCCAGGGGGGGGATCTTCAGCATACAGGAAAGGAATGTGGCATAGCAGGGTTTTTCTTTTTTCTTTGTTGATTTAGCTAAAGCTGTGAGTTAAAAGGCCTTCCCTTATCTCCTTCCTCCACTCTGGCCTGGAACTTAACTTGGGACATCTCAAGATTTTTCTCTTATCACAGGTAGCCCAGACATTGAGGCGTCTGCTGAGAGCAACCGACTGCCCTGAACTGGAGCCTTTTGTTCACTCCTCTGCTAGGATATGAGGTGGGCAGCGGAGAAGCCTCGCCAGTAACTGTGTATCCGGATGGTGACCCTGGAAGGGTGGGGCATCCGGAGGAATGGGGCACAATCCATTCCTTCTAGGGCATTGCTTAAGGCTTTGTCTCTTCAACAAGAGCTCCAACCCCAAAATTACTGCTAATCTTCGAGATTCCCTTTCTAGGAACGTATACATGCACACATGTCTCTGGGCCTGAGGTAGGATAGAAGAAACAGAGACAGGAAGGAGACAAGAAATTGTCAGTTTGTGGAAGCTTAGAAAACTGCAGCTTCAAGACAATCAAAGTTCCAAGGTTGCAATGCTTTTCACCCCTATGCCTGCTTTCCTTCCAGGCTCTTCATATCACGATTCCTAAGTCTTGAAGATGCTGCCAATCTATAAACTCATTCTGTTTTTCTACTGATACTATAAATTCCAAAGACTTCCATTCTCAGAGAAACAGTACAATGGATCAGATACCATGCCTCTGAACTTCAAACATACACAGCTTTTTAGCCTGGTTGGCAGTTTTTGCTCTCACCTGCTAATGGGTGACCTGGCTGTAAGGAAACAGACACTAGATAAATCATAAGTAATTAAAAGATAAAGATCCCAGATCTTCCATCTTGAGACCCTAAGACTATAAAAACACCCTAAAACCCCCAACTGGGGTCATAGTCCATCTCGCTCTTGAGCACCAGTACTCTGTACCTCCTTGATTCCACATAATCAATCTGCCTATGCTTCTCACTGACAGGTCCTGAAATTCTTTCCTGTCCCAGTGTCAAGAACTTACCCCCTGGGACCCCATCCAGTGAGGATCCATCCAGGAGAGAGAGTTTTCCAAGTTGCTCAGTCTGGCGGATAACAAAGCACCAGAGCTGATGTGGACCAGTTTGAAGGCATCCTCTCCAGGCTGGATTCCCTGCAGGGAAGGCTTCTGCCCAGCAAGCTCCCACCTACTTTGCAGGCACCACGACCAGCCTATCTGGTGACCCTCAGCCCTTTAGAGCTGCTGCATGGACAGGAGAGCTGAGGCTACACCTGGCCCATTCCCTTGCAGGCATTCTGTCTTGTATGTTGGCCCATTTGTCCAGCCTAACATTTTCTTCTGAGAATTTTGTGGGCTAATTTGATGATCTGGAAGCTGCACTTCAGAAGAGCAGGGTTTAAGAACCCTGTGTTAACACCTGGCTTCCTCCCTGAGGTAATGCACTGGGCTGCCCTAGGGTCATACTTCTTGTCTTCTGGGTCTTTCCCCTGGTGCATCTGCCACTGTTACCATGTTTGTCTACAACTTGTTTTCAGCTGATTCTTTCCTTTCCGTATTATTTTTGCCTCACATAAAATTCATCAGTTCTGTCCCCTTCCCCACATGACTGTACTGCCACACACTCACAGGACTTTGGTAGTGAGGGGTTTTTTTTTGGTGGGGGTTCTCCCTTTCTAGTAAGTTCTCCAACTAATTCTTTTTATTTTTGTTATTGTTGTTCAAAAGTATTTTTGTTTCTCTTTTTTTGGTACCAGGGATCAAACTCGGGACCTTGCGCTTTCGAGGCAGGTGCTGGAACCACTGAGCTAAAATCCCTGGCCCAAGAGTATTTTTTTTTTTTGGTACCGGTGATCGAATCAAGTATTTTTTATTAGTACATGTTTGCAGTACATAATGTGTATATATATATATATATATATTTTTTAATGTGTATATTTCTTGTGTGGAGTTGGTACACATCTTAATTTCTTTTTTCTTGCCCTGTCCTTCCCTCCCCTGTCTCCCTCCATCTCTCTTTTTTTTTAATGGGTACCAGGGATCAAACTCAGGACCTTGCGCTTGCTAGGCAGGCGCCAGAACCACTGAGCTAAGTCCCCGGCCCTCCCTCCATCTCTTGATCCCCTTCCCATTTGAGAAAGATAGATCTCCCTATTTCCTACTATCTGCCTTTATTTTGCTCTTTATTTATACTTTGGTTTTTCTCATATAAGAGGAAGCAGGTGATGTTTAAGCTTGTGTCTGACAGGGCAGGGGATTTAGCTCAGTGGTTCTGGCGCCTGCCTCGAAAGCGAAAGGTCCTGAGTTTGATCCCCGGTACCAAAAGAAAAAACCACACACACAAGCTTGTGTCTGAGTTATTTCACTTAACGTTACGGTCGCAAGGTACATCCATTTTCCTACACATGCCTCAAGTTATGGCATAATACTCCACTGTTTGTAAATACCACATTTTCTTTATCCATTTATCTGTTGATGGGCATAAAGCCCACTTCCAATATTTAGCTGTTATGAATTGTGCTGCTATAAACATAGCTATGTATACATCACTGTAATATGATGTCTTTAACTTTTGGAGGGATATCTAGGAGGAGAATAACTGGGTCAAATGGAATTTCTATTCTCAGATTTTTTGCTTTTTTTTTTTTTTTTTGGTACCAGGGATCGAACTCAGGAACTTTTGCCTGCAAGGCAGGCAGCAGAACTACTGAGCTAAATCCCCAGCCCTATTTTCAGTTTTTTTGAGCACTCTCCAAGTAATTCCTTACACCAATAAAAAGGGAGACCTTGATTTTTGAGACCAACTTCCAAGTAAATCACCTCTTCCATGGCTTTTATGAGGGGGAGGTGCTAGGAATTGAACTTAGGGAACAATGAGCTATATCCTCAGCACTATTTATTTATTTATTTGTCTGTCTGTCTCTTGGTTGAGACAGGGCCTTGCTAAGTACCCCATCCTGGGTACTTGTGATCTTCCTGCCTCAGCCTCCCAAGTAGGTTGGGATTACAGGAATGTACCACTATACCTGGTTACCATGGCTTTTTCACGTTGCTCACTGTTTTAGAGGTTACAGTCTGTGACTGGTTGGGCCTGTGATGAAGCAGCACGTCATGGGAGGCTAAGACAGGAGGATCACAAGTTCAAGCCCAGTGCTGCCGGGGATTTAGCTCAGTGGTTCCAGAGCCTGCCTCAAAAGCACAAGGTCCCGAGTTCAATCCCAGGTACCAAAAAAAAAGTTCAAGTCCAGCCTGGGGAACGTAGCAACTTAGCAGAACCCTGTCTCAAACTCAAAAATAAAAAAGGAAAAATAGGAACCAAGAGAGATTATGTAAAGGTGCAAATTTCCAATGCTGAATGTCATTATGTTGTATATCTAAAATGTACCAATAAAATAAAATTAATTTAAAAAAAAAAAGGACTGGGGATATAGTTCAGTGTGAAGGCCCTGAGTTTAATCTCTAGTACCTCAATCAATCAATTTTTAAGAAGACATCGGGAGAAAAATTTTGGTGACAGAACACTTCTGTCTCTTGACTCTCAATGCCAATATCCTCGTTGTGGTATTGTGCTGTAGTTCTGCAAAATGTTACCAATTAGTGAAACTTACAAAAGAACCCAATCGATTTCTATTTCTTACAATTGCATGTGAATCTACAAGTATCTCAAAAGTGATAACTGAAAAAATTTCTGACTTGGACCAGTGCCATTTATGTCTGCTTGCCTCAGAATGACCAACTATCCCCTGACTTTATCTGTTTTGTAACATCCTGGCAAACGGCCAGTATTTCTAAGGACAAGGCACCCTGCTCTTTCATCCTCCTAACAGAGCTGCTGGCCCAGGGTCACATATTACAGCTGCCCAAGTTACCACTGGTTTCCCCAGTGCTCTCTGGGTTTGTATGTTTGCCAATCTGACAGGTGAAAATAGTGTTTCAGTGCATTTAAATTTCTCTTAGCATAAGGAAGGTTGAATGTCTTTTAATATTTTTGTGGGGCTGTAAGATTTTACCCTAACCCCAGGATGTTCAGTTCTAAAGACCTCACTCATGCTCTGTGCCTGCTAGCTTTAGATTGTTAAAATTAGTTAAAATACCTAAAGCGTGTCACCTAATTCACTGTCCAGAACTGATGTCCTGAACATTGCTATCTATTAGAACAATCTGCAAACAATGCGAACATCTGCCGACCACTAGTACGTGACGGCCATGACTATTAGTCAGGATGTCTGGTGATTATCAGCATACATCAAGTGACCACTAAACTTTGTCCCCTTCCGTAAATCTGCTTGTTAACTTACCCTTCAACCCCCTATAAAATAATCTCGGACTCTGAGCCAGTTGCCTCTCAGCTACTTTGCTTTGAGAGTGCCCTTGCTGCCTCTCTCAGCTACTGTGCTTTGAGAGTGCCCTTGCTGCCTCTCTCAGCTACTTTGCTTTGAGAGTGCCGTCTGGCTAGACTAATAAAGGTCTGTTTTACTTTCCAACTTGTCCGGTGTGTTCCTTCCCGGGTGTTCGTCGCTGCAGTCAGCTCCTCGGAGCGTTTGGTAAGGCCCTCGGTCTTACATTTTAAAGTGATTTGTATTTCTTTTTCTGTGAACTTTCCGTTTATGTGTTTTGCTTGTGTAATAATGGTACCAGACTAATTTTAGAACACATGCTGCTTAGAGAAGTTTTGAAAACTTAAAAATGTAAGTTTATGGTTTTCTCTACAGACATACTGAATCAGAATAGTCCTTCTGATCCCTGAACTTCTGTGAGTTGTCGCAAACTCAAAGCAGAAGCAGCAATTCGTTATCAGGAAAAACGAGAGAAATACATATTAAGTCAGACTAGCCCGTATTTAGGTCAGTAATTTGTTTCTAAGACGCTCCCAAGATTTGCAAACCACTCAACAGACAGACTGAAATCAAGCAATGCAAATCAGCGAGTGACTACGAGACCCCTGGTAAACCCGTGTGCCTGTTCTTTCGGACCTCGCTGCTAACCCCGAAGCTTTAACAAGACTGTTCATTTAGGAAAGCACAAAAGCTTGTATTACTTATTTGGTTTCAGATTAAATTTTGAGCTATACTGAAATTAGGAACTGGCTATCTGGGAATAGCTACTTAGTACTAGCCAAGTCATAGGCTGAACCAAATAAAGCCAATACCACAAACCCTGTGGTACAAAACAATAGAAAACACCCGCTTCGGGTCCCAGGCCCGAGGGGACAGGGTGGGGCGAAGCCCGCACAAAATGCGGGGCCGGCCCTAGCGCCACTTGCCCTGCCCCGTGACGTCACGGCAGGCCCCGCCCCCAGCGGCCAGAGACTCCCGACACCACTGCGGCTGGCTCGCGCCCCGGAAGCTGCCCCTTCCCGGGGTCATGATGGGCAGCAAGATGGCGTCTGCTAGCAGGGTAGTTCAGGTAAAGGGATTCGGTCACTTTTGCGCATCCTGGGCGGTAGGGACGGTGCAGAAGTAGCAACGGCCTTAGGGAGGAAAGGCAGTGGCTGGCACAGGATGCTTGGTGACCGCGCCCGCGGCGGCACATTGGCGTGTGTGAAAACAGGGTTTTGAGTCCGTCACGTTGGGCAGTAAGGCACGATCAGCAGCTGAGGGTTCGAGCCTGGTGGTGGGGGCGCGGCACCTCGCTGGGTGGCTCCTTGCTGACCCCGGGGCCTCCCGGGCTTCTCGGCTAGCACCTCAGCCTTCGGAGTCTCCTGGCCAGGGTGCCCTCAGGAGCCGGGCCAATCGCCGCCGCCGCGTATTCTCAGCGACCTCCGCGCTCAGCCAATCGGGAGGAGGCAGGAGCGGGGCGTGGGAGGAAGCGCGCCCCTTCTGACCAGTTGTCCTTCAAGGTCTCGAGATGGTTGGGTCATTCGTGGGCCCTCCGTTCCGTGTCCTCGCCCAGGACCCGATCCCTTCAAGCATCTCGCTTCAGGCTGGGGCTGGGGGTGATGGTAGAAAAATGTGCTACATACGTTTATTGCTAGTATATATTTCTAGTGTATTAGTGTTGGTTTCACAAGACTTTTTTCCTTTTCGTTTTTGGTGCTGGACATTGAACCAAGGACTACATGCATGCTAGTCAAAGGCTGTACCACTGAGCTGCACTCCCTCCCCACCTTTTTCAAACAGGGTCTCACTGTGTTGCCCAGGCTGGCCCACAGCTCCTGCCTCAGCCTTCTGAGTAGCTGGTATTATACGTTTGCACCACTAAGCTCACCACCCCGAGCCCTTTTCCCCTGTATTTAGATAGGCAGCTAGAGTAACATTATTGTTAATCCACCTATCAACTATTAATTCCTGGCAGCTTTTGTATTTGGATCTCTCGCTGTAGTCCCTAGTTCAAATAGGAAAGGTAAAGTTAATATATAAAATAGACACCATCCTTTTTTGATCCTACTGGGGTTTGAACCCAGGGCTTTTACATTGGGCTACATCCCTGGCCCTTTTTTATTTTTGAGACAGGGTCTCAGTAAGTTGCCCCATCTGGGCTCCAATTTAGGATCCTCCTGTCTCAACTTCCTAGAATAATGGCATTACAGGTGTGCACCACCTCACCCTGATGGACACAGCGCTTTTTAATAGGTCTGTATTTTTTTGTTTGTTTTTTTTTAAACCTTGAAAGCATATTTGATGGTTAATTTTTAGCGTTGATATAAGAAATTCATTTTCCTTTGTAGTAATACATCTCCTGCCCCTTTTTATAGTACTGTTACAGGATTGAACCCAGGGCCTTCCCACCAAGCTACATCCCCAGCCCTTCTTTTATTCCTTTATTTTGAGTCTGGATCTCACAGAGTCGTTAAGTTGCTCTGGCTGGGCTCAAACTAGGGATCCTTCTCCCCTAGCCTACCAGAGTGCTGGGATGATAGCCATGCACCACCATGCCCAGCTTATATTGGTACATCTCTTTTTTGGGGGTACCGGGGATCGAACTTGGGACTTTGTGCTTGCGAGGCAGGCGCTGGAACCACTGAGCTAAATTCCCAGCCCATTAGTAGATCTCTTGTAAGACCTCTTCTGGAAGTTGCTGAAGTTGGTACCTGAATGATAACCCTAGAGCCCAGTCTTTGGTTCCATTGCAGTGACTGAGCCTCACTTACTCGTTTAGTGGGTAGTTACCAAGCATTAACTAATTAAAGATTCAGTAAGGACAGGGAGAACATGACAGTGATCTAGTATCTACCATATATAACCATATATAGCAATAATACATATATAGCTCAATCTAACATGGGTAAAGGAATTTATACCGCACAAAAGACACCCCAATAAACTGAAACATGTGAAGAGGTACCAGGAGGTACTACACAGCAATCAGAATAACTAAATTTTTTTTTTGTTGCTAGGTATTGAACCCATGGCCTCCCACTTATCTGAGCTACAGCCCCAGCTCTTATAAAAATTGAAAAGATTGACAATAGTAAAAAGTGACACTAAATAGAAAGGACCTGAAGGACCTTTGTACATTGCTGAGAGGTAGCATAAAATGGTATTGCCTTTTTAGAAAACCGTCTCTAATAATTGAACATGTACTTCTGTGACCCAGCAATTCTACACTTATTATCCAACAGGAGTGAGCACACATACCTACAAAAAGACTCATAAAAGTATTCAGAAAGCTAGGTGTATTGTCATGCACCAGTAATCCCAGCTACTCAGAAGGCTGAGGGGGCTGGGGATGTAGCTCAGTGGTACTGCTGCCTGCTTCACAAGCACAAGGTCCTGAGGTACCAAAAAGACCCTGTCTCAAAATTTTAGGTGAGCATGGTGGCACATGTCTGATATACAAGCACTCTGGGAGGCTGAGGCAGGAGGATTACATATTGTAGCCCAGCCCTGGAAATTTAGTGATTTAGTAAGACCTTGTAAAAAGGTGGTAGATATGACTGGATACCCATATGGAAATGGATTAAATAAGCTCCATTGCTTTCACTGTATATAAAGGTAAATTTATTAGCATGTTTGCAGTACATGAAGTTTACATTCATTTTAGGGAGTAGGTGCATGTAACACAGCTTAATTCTTTTTTAATCTCCTTCCCCTTCCCATCCAGCTTACTTCCTCTGTCTTTAAATCCTCTTTCCCCATTTTCATTCTTACTATTTTTCTTAGCTCATGTTTATGACATATGTTTACATTCATTGTGGACATTTAGTACTGTACATGACACATCTTAAATCTTTTTGTACCAATCCTTTGTTTTTGGTACCAGGGATCAAACTCGGGTCCTTGCACTTGTGAGGCAGGTGGCGGAACCACTGAGCTAAATCCCCGGCCCGACACATCTTAAATCTTATTTCTCTTGCCTCTTCTCCCCTCACCCTTGGTCTCCTGGATCCCTTCCCATTTGCAGAAGATCTACCTCCTTGTTTCCTTCTGTCCGTGTTTTATTTTACTCTTTGTTTGGAATTTTACTCTTTGTTTGGAAATACCGTATGGTATTTTGGTTTCCTGATATTGTATTATACATGTGCAAGCTGTTACCATAGTTAGAAACTGAATGAAGTTTACATGGGACCTCTTGTGTACTTTTTTTTTTACAGCTTCCAGTGGATCTATAATTATTATGTTCAGAGGTAAAATGTCCCCCAAAGGTGTTGAGAGGTGGGACTTTCACAAGGTGATTTGATCATGGGGGCACTGTACTCATCAATAGATTAATCCATCGATGAGTTCATTGCTGAATGTGCTGTTAAGAGGTGGGATGTGGTCCAAAGAGGTGGGTCTCTGGGGGCGTGACCTGGAAGGGTATATTCTTGTCCCCCACTGCTACTTTGACTGCTTCTTGTCTGCCACAAAGTGAGGAGCTTTCCTTCGTCAAGCCTTTCTGCCATTGCCATTTCTGCCTTGGAGCCAGCTAACCATGGACTGAAACCTACTAAAACTCTGAGCCAAAATAAACCTCTCTATTACTGGTGTTGGTATTATGTTTCAGTGATGAGAATGCTAATACAATTATTTCAAATGAAAAGGTTTTTAAAATGAAATCATACAAGTACCAAATGAAACATGAGTTTCTTTATAACCTGGGAGTGGGAAAAACTTTCCCAACTGTGACTCAAAATCTAGAAGCAACAGGAAGAAATTGATAATTTGAATTGAATTAAAAAGCAAAACCTTTTTCTCAAAAGAAAAAAAAGCTTCAAAAATGGACAAGAGCTGTGAAAAAGTTCACAGATTTTTTAAAAAAAACATGAAAATGGACCGTGGCACACAGCAGTAATCCCATCACTCTGGGAGGCTGAGGCAGGAGAATCACAAGTTTGAGGCCAGGGAACTTGCCAAAACCTTGTCTCAAAAAAATAAAAAGATCTGGGGATGTAACTCAGTGCAAAGCCTTGGGTTCAATGCCCAGGGCTGCAAAAAATAAAATGAAAATTAGCTATTTGAATAGATGACCAGCCTCTTAACAACAGAAATGAAATTAACACTTCATGAAGATAACATTTTCAATCAATTAGATTTTTCTTTTTTGGTACTATGGATTGAACTCAGGACCTTATGCTTGCGAGGCAGGCAACAGAACCACTGAGCTAAATCCCCGGCCCCAGTTAGATTTTTTTTTTTTTTAAGTCAGAGAACAGTCTGTTGGCAAGGATATAGGAAGCAGGCACTCGTTCATTGCTACTGGAATATAAAATAGTACACACAACCTCTATGAAGAGGGAGTCTGGCAATATTTAGCAAAAGTGTGTTTTTACCCTTTGACCTAGCAATCCCTTTTCCAGGAATCTGTTCTATAAATATCCTGCAAATAAGGTACAAGGGTATTCACTCTATGTCATTATTTGTAGCTGTTAACAAACAAACACATACACACTGGAAACTATCCAGATACTCATTAGTGGGGGATTTGGTGTTTATCATGAATTCACCTGACCCTCTAATTCCAATCTTAGCACATAAGCATTCTTCCTTTCCTTCCCCATCCTACATTTATATTTTCCTTCTTTCACAGGAAAGGCCTTGACTCCTCAAAAATATCCATATTGCATGCACTCATCTGCTCAGTCCTGTAATACATAAAATATGCTTTCAGAGTAGCTACACATACCCCACTGCCAACAGCCAACCTCCTATAAGTAAAAGTTCATATTTCTTTGTGACTTTTTACCTTAGGCGAAGGACATAGACTGCAGGCACTGTGTAGAGAGGTTATTTGGGCTCTTTCCTTCTCCCCTCCCCCCAGTTATATTATCTCTCTAGTACACAGTTATTTGTTTCTCTTTGTATTTAGAGTTTAAAAAGACAGTTTGAGACGGGAAAATCATAAATGAATAGGATTTGTTAATTTGTTAGGTATGGTAAAATTAATGGTTTAACAAAAATTCTTGTCTGTCAGTGATACATGTTATCAGGTGAAATAAAATGAATGAAATTTGTTTAAAGTAGGAAGGGGATGATGAAATAACAATGACTATTACTGTTCAGGTTGTGTAAAGAATATATCAGCGTTTATTATACTACTCTTTGTTTTGTTTTGTTTGAGGCAGGGTCTTACTATGTAGTTCAGGCTGGCCTTGAAGTCACTGGGTATCCTAGTCTGGCCTAGATCTTTTAATCCTCCTGCCTCAGCCTCCTGAGTGCCGGGACTATTAAGTGTGCACCGCCATGCCTGGCTACACTACGATTAATACTTTCATATGTATTTAAGTTGTCTTCCTTGAATAAAGGAGAACCCAAAAATGAGTGAGAATTTATAAGGCCGTGTGTGTGTGTGTGTGTGTGTAGGCTGTATATCTAGGATTATATATATATTTTGGTGGTGGTGATGGTACTGAGGATTTTTTTTTAAGCATACAAAGCAATGTTGAAATGGATTATTTCTCTCATATTAAATGATTATATGCACACTTTGAACTCTGTATAGTTATTCCCAACTTACACAGGGTCTCTCCATTTTTTGGCTAGTGTTTCTTGAGCATTTACTTTGTGCTAGGAATATTGCAGAAGTGCTTAATTGTCTTTCTTCCCAGGAGCCGAACTTCTATAATCATTGGCTCATTTATCTGTCCTCTGCAAAGATTCTTAAGAGAGGTCCATTGAGACTGTCTCCAAAAAAAAATCTGTACAAAAGTGACAATGAAAATAAAAAAGCAGCCAGGAGTGGTGGCCCCTGTGGTCCCAGCATTTGAGAGGCTGAGGCAGGAGGATCTCAAATTCAAGGCCACTGTGGGCTACATGTGAGGCTCTGTCTCCCCCCAAAAAAAGAATCAAGAAGAAGGTTTAAGGTTTTCTGCAGGTAAAGATAACTTTGTCTCAAACATAGCTTGGGATCTTATTGCTAAGTAGGGCAGTGAAAAATCTAGGTGAGCAAACAGGAAAAGGAGGAAAGCTGAGTAGCCTAAGAGGATTCTGTGCTGTGGAAAGATATACCAAAATTAACATCAAATATTTATACACAGAAGTAAAAATTTTTTGTAGTGTTTGGGACAAGGTCTTGCTGTGTGTTTCAGGCTGGCCTTGAACTCACTGTGTAACCCAGGCTGGTCTTGAATTTGAGGCAGTCCCTCTGCCTCAGCCTCCTGAGTGCTGAGATTACAGACCTGTGCCACCACACCAACTTAAAATGTTTATTTATTTATTTTTTGAAGCAAAACATTTATTGGTATATCTTAGATATACATAACATTCATTATAGGGAATTTGTACCTGTACGTAGTGTATCTTGCTTCTTTTTTCCCCACTCCCCACCCCTTTGATCCCTCTTCCCTTCCTTATATATAAAAGCTTTATTTCCAAAATGTTTCTTATTTAAATTTTATAAAAACTGCAACTTTAAACCAGTGGTGCAAGCTGTAATCCCAGCACGTGAGAGGCTGAGACAAGAAGGTCGCCATGAGTTCAAGGCCAAGCTGGGCTATATCGTGGAACCCTGTCTCAAAAACAAAATCCCCAAACAAAACAAAAACCCACAAAATCCCTAGGGCCGGGGATTTAGCTCAGTGGTTCCGCCGCCTGCCTTGCAACCACAAGGACCCGAGTTCGATCCCTGGTACAAAAAAAAAAAAAATCCCTGAAACTTTAATATATAAAGTGAGTCACGGGATAAAACCGCAGATCCCTAGCTCTCCCTTATTCCATTTTATCACTTGCAAAAAACACTTGACTGTCAAAAATAAAGCTGTTATGAAGAGAATGTTATCGGGAGGGGGGGCACAGGGAGGAAATTAATTTTCTAGTTTCATGAGATTCACCATGTTCTACTTATTAGGGGAAAACTACTATCCTTAATGCCCAGAGAGAGCCAGACCTGGCTTTATTCCCTAGAGGGAAGTGGTGCTAGGAAAATGGCCCAGGAGCTTACCGAGGGGAAGGTCCTTGGAGAGGAGCTCTGTAAATGGTCATTTGCCAGAGGGCAGATAGGGAAATATGGCAGAGGTCACAGTCTCTCCTGGAAAGGGCCTGGAAGCAGCAGGATGAATAAGGAAGTTCGAGTGCTTCAGAGTATCTGCAATAACAGACTGGAGACGTGAAGAGAGGCCAGGTCATACATAGCCTTGTGGGTGCCACACAAGCATGTGAACTTTATTCTGAAAACTGGAACATTTTTCAAGCTTGTAAAAGGGGAATGACAGAAGATTCTTTCAAGAAGCTTAGCTATGCTAGGAGAGAATGGTTACTAGAGAGAAAGGACGTTCTTTTAACATGAACGATAAACTTGAGGATAGAGAAGAGAAAGAAATATTCAGCATTGGCTCATGGCAACAATTGTAAATGTCCGTGCTAGACCCTATTCTATACCTGCACAAAGTGCATAATATGGAGCATATATGTACAACTATATTGCAGATAAATACACCACAACCTTGCTAGTTGCACAGTAATTTATAGATTACCTTAATTGAAAGTAAATAGTGTCCTGTTCCTTAGATTCTTAACATTGTGTATTCAGAAGATTTCACACTGATAGGTTCATTTAAAGTCTTCTGTAGGGGCCTGGGATTTAGCTCAGTGGTTCCACCGCCTGCCTTGCAAGCACAAGGTCCCAAGTTCAATCCCCGGTACCAAAAAAACCCAAAAAACAAAGTCTTCTGTAGCAGTATCTGGGATTTTAGGGGTGAAAATGTGTTAGAAAAACATTCCAAAAACATGTATTTCTGGGTAAAGGAAAAAGACAAAAGCTGTCAAGCAGGGCCTGGTAGCACATACCTGTAATCCAAACACACAGGAGGCTGAGGCAGGAGGATTATGAGTTTGAGGCCAGCCTGGGCTACATACTGAGTTCAAGGCCAGCCTGGACTACATAGCAAGACCTTATCTGGGGGAAAAAAAAAGCTAGCAAATGTTTTTATTGGTTTGGTGTAGGTTTGGGGGTTGTAGTGTTTGCTCCTTTGTGTTTTTCTACATTTTTTCCAATTTTTTTTAAACAAAATGTGTTATTTTTTATAAGTAGAAAACTTTTTAATTACCTAGTTTTCAATATGATTGGTTTTTTTGTTTTGTTTGTTTGGTACGGGGGATCAAACTCAGGTCCTTGCGCTTGTGCAGCAGGCGGCGAAACCACTGAGCTAAATCCCTGGCCCTGATTGTCTTTTATCCTGTTTAATCCAGTAGGTACCCTCATAATAGGGAAACCACACTCAATACAAATCAGGATACTTCAGTTCTTTTCTCACCAATCTGTAAGTCACGCAACATGAAATCCATATCATCCTCTGCATTGGGTTGTTTTGAAGGCTTGTAAAAGTCTTGTGATGTATAAAGTACAAAGTTAGGGCTGGGGATTTAGCTCAGTGGTTCCGCTGCCTGCCTCACAAGCACAAGGACCCAAGTTTGATCCCCGGTACCAAAAATCAAACAAACAAAAAAATACAATAAAATACAAAGTTAGGAATAGCACATAATTAATAATTTACAGATGAGCTTTCCTGGGTGAGGGACAATACAATTTAAAGTTCCTGTCAGGAGTAATGTATTTCAACAAATCTATACTATTTATACTATTACTATTTATGATGATTAAGAGATCATTGCTTTTACAGTTAATGAGGGTTTTTAAAAATGCGTTTTATTTTTCCTTTAGGTAGTCAAGCCACATACACCATTAATAAGGTTCCCTGACAGAAGAGACAATCCTAAACCCAGTGGTAAGTTGTCCTTTATCTAGATTTTTTTAAATGTATGTATGGATATTTAGAAATGACTTTTTGATTATAGGCAATATTTCTTATTTTGATATCAGAGAGACTATTTTAGCATAGCTCAAAATGATATCCTGGGTAGCATGAAGTAGAAATTGATTTGTTACTACCCCTATTTTGGGGGGGGGGGTACTGGGGATTGTACTCAGGACCTTGCACTTGCCAGGCAGGTGAGGCAACACTGAGCTCCATCCCCAGCCCTATTACCCCTATTTTAAAAGGTGTTTACTCACTGGGCAAGGTGGCATGTGCCTGTTAATTCCAGCTGAGGCAGAGGTTCAAGGCCAGCCTGAACTACATAGGGAGACCTTACCCCTCCCCAAACCAAAAACAAGGTAGGGACTCAACAGTGGATGTCTATGAACTTTTAGTGATACTGGTTTATAGTTTATATTATATGCAAGATTTTTATCCTACTTTTTTTCTATCTTTGAAAAGATTCTCCTAGTCTTATATTTGCAGGTTTCGAGGAATAGTAGGTATTCCTGTATTTCTCTGCTAGCCAACTTCTTTTCTTTTATTATTCACTCTTTACCTACTGATTCTGTATGTAACTATTTCTTGGATCACTTTAGTCCTTAGCAGTTATTGAAAATATAGACTAATGACAGAGATTCTGAAAGGGTTCTATTGTTTTTTGTTTTATCAGATCTTTGTACCTCTCTTAATACTTGATCTTTAATTTAGGGAAAATTTGAACAGATTCTATAGGGATTCTTTTTTACTTAAATATTGAAAAAATAAGATAAATAAGTGTAAAGATGTTGAGAAAACTAATTTACTGACTTTTCTATTCTCCATTGTAAGCTCTACCTGCGAACTGTACCATGTGTTGGCCTCTAAGGGCTTATGTGGCAAAAACTTATGTAGTGTAGTTCGTCCATAGTGAACTCCTTTGACTAGAAGATTCATTATTTTGCAGACTTTTTTGTTTGTAGTCTGTGCATTAAACTGCTGTTCATGGTAATGTGTAGTACTGTGATCTCATGCATGCCAGGCAGGTACTTTACTGCTGAGCTACATCCTCAGAACATCTTTTTAAAATTTTGAATCAGAGTCTTGCTGATTTGCCCAGACGGGTCTCAAGCTTGGGATCCTGCTGCCTCAGCCTCTCAAAGTAGTTGGGATTACTGGGATATGCCAGTGCACTCAGCTGTTTTGCAATCTTGTTTTCATTTTAGTCATTCACTTACTTAAGACTACTTCTTTTTTTTTCTCATTAAATAACTTTATTATCAAACACACACATAAAAAAATTAAAACCACTCGAAGAACAGTGCAAGGGGAAAAAACTACAATAATATTCAAATACAGTAGAACTCAACCAAAACAAAACTGAAAAGCATGTAAACATTTTTCCATATAACTTAAAAAAGCATCTCAAGCACCAACAAGACACCACAGGATGTGATTTGTTTCAGAAAGGTCCCCAAAACCAACATTGAACAAATAATGATCTGGAAAAAAAACTCCAGTTAGCAGACTCCACATAAGCCAGACTTCTCCCTAATTTAAATTTCAATACAGTCATATGACACACAATGGAAACAGAATCCGAGAAATATGTTATTAGGCCATTTCATCCATGTGTATCCTTAATTACACTTTCAGTTTCTCACACTAGAGAAACTATTCGGTATTTACACGTGTGTCTTATTTATTTCACTTAAGAGGATGGCCTCAAGGGGCTGGGGATTTAGCTCAGTGGTTTTGCTGCCTGCTGCACAAGCAAGGACCCAAGTTTGATCCCCGGTACCAAAAAAAAAAGAGGATGGCCTCAATATGCATCCATTTAGTTATAAATGTCTCTAGTTTCTTATTCTTTATGGCTGAGTAGTACTCCATTTTATTAAAATACCTCACATCTTCTTTATCCAGTTTCCAGTTGATGGGCACTTGGGCTATTTCCAAGCTTTTGCTATTATTAACCTGCAGCTATAAACATGGGTGCACATATATCGCTGTGGTAAGATTTTTTTTTTTTTTGGTACCAGGGATCAAACTCAGGACCTTGCACTTGCGAGGCAGGTGCCAGAACCACTGAGCTAAGTCCCGGGCCCAAGATTCTTTTAATTCTTTTGTGAAGATATCCAGCAGGGGGATAGCTGGGTCCATTTAAGACTACTTCCTAGCTGGGCATGGTAGTGCACGCCTATAATCCCAGCACTCAGGAGGCTGAGGCAGGAAGATTGCCATGAGTCTGAGGCCAGCCTGGGCTACATAGTGAGCTCAACGGAAGCCTGCATACAAAGTGAGACCTTGTCTCAACAAAACAAAAACAACAACAAAAAAATTACTTCTAACTGAGCATGGTGGCTTGCACTGGTCATTCCAGCTACTTCGGACAATGAAACAGGAGGATCCCTTGAACCCAGAAGTTTGAGGCCAGTCTGAGCAGTATAGTGGGATACCATTACACACACACACACACACACACACACACACTGGGGTAGGGGTGTAACTTAGTGCTTAGCATGCATGAGCTGCTGGGTTCAATCCCCAGCACTGCAAAACCCATTCAAAAAAAAATACCCCTTATTTCTTTTAAAATGAACATTATGGGGCTGGGGATTTAGCTCAGTGGCGCTGCACCTGCCTCAGAAGCTCAAGGTCCTGAGTTCGATCCCTGAGACCAAAAAAAAAAAGAATAAATAAATAAACATTATGAAATTATAGCCAACTGAATATTCTACATTTACCTCTTACAATTACAATACTTCAAGACTTATTTGAAGAATGACCTGATTTCATTAAGAATGACTTGATTATTCAACAGTAGATAACTGAAAATAATATTTTAAGGAACCTGAGTGATTTCTCTAATTTGATTTTTTTCCTTTTTTAAATTTTAGTATCAGAAGCTTTGAGATCAGCAGGGATCCCATCTCACTCTTCTGTAATTTCACAGCATTCTAAGGGAAGTAAATCACCAGAGTTGCTGATGCATCCGGGTCCACCAGACACTGCAGAAATACTAAAAACGCTACCTCAGAAGTACAGAAGGAAACTTATATCTCAAGAGGAAATGGAGTTTATCCAAGTATGTGTTTGCTTTTTTGTTGTTGTTTGTTTGTTTTTGTACTGAGGATCGAGCTCAGGACCTTGTGCTTGTGAGGCAGGCACGGTGCCACTGATCTAAATCCCTGGCCCAATGTGTGTTTGCTTTTTTATCACAAGACCATGCAAAACCCCATAGCATTCTGGCTTTAGAATTTCACTTGGTGACTTACACTCTTATAATCAAGTGTGTTCAGACCTAAGGCAGAGAGGCAGGCCAGGACGGAGAAACAGACCTTGGCTGGAACCCTTAGTAAGTGTGCACAATATGTCACGAGATAAAACCACATGACACTTGCCATGGTGGCACACTGCTGTAATCTCAGCACTCATGAGGGTAAGGCCTGAGCCTGGATTACAGAGTAAAACTCTCCAGAAAACCACAAAAACCTGCCGGGGGGATGTGGTGTAGTGGTTGAGCACTTGATCCCTGAGACCCTGGGTTTGATCCCCAGCACCACCAAAACCGAAACAAAACAAAAACAAAAACAAAACCCCAAAAACTCTGAGGTTTTCAACAATTCTTCATAGTAAAAACAGCTGTTGAGACCAAGAAATTTGAGGACAACTCATATAGATCAACCTTGAGTTGCTTCAAGATCTGAAATTCTAACAATCGATGTAAGTCCTGCCAAACTATGAAAAACCTGGCATTGTTTTTTTAAAAAGCTAAAGATCATCTGCCTAAGATTATGTAAATCTGTATAGTGGTTATGAAAACATTTCCTATGATAATTTAAAATCTAATCTTACTGCTTTGTTTTCCTTTTCAGCGTGGAGGTCCAGAATAATGATTGTGGCTGCTATTTGTCATCAGGCAAAAGAATTATCTTTACAATAAAGGACTTCCAAAATGACATATGAAAAGTTGTATGTTAAACAACCTTAATAAATCTTCTGCAAAGAGGGCTGGGGATTTAGCTCAGTGGTTCCGGCGCCTGCCTCGAAAGTGCAAGGACCCGAGCTCAATCCCCGGTACCAAAAAAAAAAAAAAATCTTCTGCAAAAAGAAAAAAAGAAACATAGAAAATTTAGATGGATACTTGTATCTTCTAATTTATGTATCTTGGTCAGCTTCCCCACAAGCTTACCTAATTGTTTATACACATTATACTTATTAAAGTATACATTTGAAAATGTTAGCCTATTAAATTACTCTTGACAAACTAGGAAAAGCACACCATCTATAGTAAACTATAGATTTCCTATGATCTCACTTTCTGATTCTGTTTAGAAATAGAAAAAACTTACTAGATAGAATTACTCCATTAGGGAAGTAGTTTTCCTGAAATTAGATGAGAATCAGTAAAATAACTACATTATTCTTACTTCTGCAATGTTTATTCATTCACAAGGTTACTGGAGTAAACTGGCTTAATAAGCATATCCTATTGTAAATGACTGAAAAGTATATAACCAATGACTGGGATTAAGACATGGAAGACAATTCAAAAAGATGTATTTGTAGCCTTTATTGAGGAAAAAAAGTATAAAATAGAAAATAAAGAGATTAAAATGAATATAGATAGGAATAAATGTTTCACAGAAATTGTAGTTTTTGTTTGGAGAATGTTAAAGTCTTGTTCTTTGGTTTCTTTGATTATTTTGTGTTTGGTCACATGTGCAAATCCTGATGACCCATTAACTTTCTCAAACTTAGTATCTGAAAACCACATAAAGTCAACCTCCATATTTGGCTTATGAAGGCAAGCTGTGAAACTTTAATAGGGTCTTCCTGTGCCAAGGATATGTACAAAATTAAAGCCTCACAAAGCTAAATAAATTGTCTTCCATATCTGTGATGATTTCTAGAATATACTTTAAAGTCATCCCTGATATGAAAGGTAGCTCATGAACAAAACACAGTGGAATTGTTGAGTACATTTTCATATTTGTTCAGTTGCCTGTGGGTTCAGCCTAACTTTTTCTACTATTCGAGTTGATGTTCTTCTCTTTTATTTATTTTATTTTTTTGTTTTGTTTTTTGGTACCAAGGATCTAACTCAGGACCTTGCGCTTGCTAGGCAGGCACAGTGCCACTGAGCAAAATCCCCGGGCCTGTTCACTTAAATTGTGCTGTAGCTTAGGGTGAATGTTGCCCAACACAAATAGGAGATAGGGGATTGGGTTTGATGCCAGCAATAAGCTGCTCTGATGACTTGTGAAAAATATATGATTTAGCATATTTTATTTAAAAGATTATTTGGAGCTGGGTGTGGTGGCACACTCCTGTAATTGCAGCACTTGGGAGGCTGAGGCAGGAGAACTGCAAGTTTGAGGCCAGCCTGGCTATATAGTGAGTTCAAGGTCAGCCTGAACTACATAGCCTGTCTCAAAAAATAGAATTTGGAGTTGGGCGCAGTGGTGCACACCTGTAATCCCAGCACTGAGGGAGGCTGAGCCAGGAAGATAACAAGTTCAAGTCTACCTGGGCAACTTAGACCTTGTCTCAAAAAATAGGACTGGGCTGGGGATTTAGCTCAGTGGCACCATGCCTGCCTCACAAGGGCAAGGTCCTGAGTTTGATCCTCAGTACAAAAAAAAAAAAAAAAAAAAGACTGAGGATGTAGCTTAATGGTGGAACAACCCTGGGTTCCATCCCCAGTAGTGCACCTCCCCCCAGAAAAAATTTTTTTTGGGTACCAGGTATTGAACTCAGGACCTTGTGTTTGTGAGGCAGGCAGTGGAACCACTGAGCTAAATCCCTGGCCCCTCAAAATTTTTTATTTGAGAAAATTACTTAAATAGTAGCACTGTTTTCCTTTTCCCCCTTAGCTTTCTTATTTATTTTTGCTTTCAAAAACTAGTGCAGAACAGGGGATTTAGCTCAGTGGTTCTGCCGCCTGCCTCACAAGTACAAGGTTCCAAATTTGATCCCTGGTACCAAAAAAACCCAAAACAGTAGTGCAAGTAATGAAGAGTGGTTTGAATAACACTGGAACAATGGGTGAAAACATGAATACCACAAAAAAAAAATTAAAAAAAAAATACCACAGCTGTGGGTTTTATGTGAAGGCAAGCTTTATTGCCATGAAAGGGGAAAGGGGAAAAAAGATCACTTGTATAGGATATGTGAGTACAGGTTTGGCTAAAAAGCATGGCAGTGGGATTTGCTATAACGGGATTCTTTGTGAAAAGAATTCTGGCAAGGCTTAAAGTCCCATAGCTTTTATTTGCATGTAGGGATTAAAGACTTCATGCAACCATCAGCAGATTGCTTAATTTGTCCAGGTGTCAGCTTTCCAGTACTGTACAGAGTAACAGGCTGGATGAATTAGTGTATTATCTATTACTTTGTAGCAAACTGCCCCAAAATTAAGTGGCTTAAACAAATAATCACACACACCCCAAAGCCAGTTGTCACTTAATAGCTCATAGTTACCTGAGGTCTGGGTCAGGAGTTCCAAAGCAGCTTCCCTGTGCTGCTGTGACTCTCAGGAGGCCACCATCAGCAGGCATTTGAGAGCAAGGCGAGGGCTGGCCAACCCACTCCTAGGTGGTGCACTCCTATGGCTGGCAAGTTGATGCTGCCTGTTGGCAGGAGGCCTCAGCTCCTCCGTGTGGGCACAGGGCTGCCAGAGTTAATTTATGACATGACTGGCTTCTCCCAGCACAAATGATCCAAGAGTTTAATGACAAGCCTTTGATGACCTAGTTTCCAAAATCACTTCTGCCATATTCTATTGATCACACAGAGCAGCCTATTTTCTTTGTGGGAGATAAGGCAAAGATAATTACAACCTTCTTAAAAGCTGGCTAATACAGATATGTAGAAGTGCTTTATAAACTGTAAAATGCTATGCAAATGCTTAATGGCTTTGTAAATACAATACACTGTTTCATTACATTCAGATGTTCCAGGCTAGGGGTGCAGCACAGTGGTTCATTATGTGTTCAGCATGCACAAGGCCCTCTAGGTTTTGTCCCCAGCACCAAAATAATGTCTCAAGATAGGAATGTACACGTCAGTAGCATGGTACAGTGTGAATATCAATGTCCATACCATAACATACTTAGGAATCTGAAGCCTTCTAGTTGTACCATCAGATCAGCTCATTACTTATTTCTACTACAAGTGAGATTAAATGACTGTCAATAATGTCTTTCAGAAGGAACTTTGACCTTGGCACCCTGCATCACCAGGTATGATTTGTTACAGTTAAAAATGGAAAAGAAAAAAGAAATATGTATCTCAGCACTTTGAGAGGCTGGGGCAGGATTGCAAGTTTGAACCCAGGCTGGGAAACTAAGCAGTGTAGCAAGACTGGCTCAAAATAAAAAAATAAAGACTGGGAATATACCTTAGTGCAAAAGTCTTGGGTTCAAAAGTACTACACACACACACACACACAAAGTGGTAAGGATAGTGGGGTTTTCTGCAATGTATGAGAGTTTTATGTAGATCCAAGTAGTGACAGGGAGAAAGATAGGCAACCCATGAAGGACCACTCCTGTGTCTGAGGAGCTATTCCTATTCCCCAATAAATATTCCTACTCTTAAAAAGGGGCGGGGAGATGACTAGTAATGACTAATTAAACATTTGTCAGAGACTAATTGGGGATTTACAAGTTGTTATTGCTTTGTGTCTAGATGTCCCCCCAGAAGCCTCATGTGGTCATAGGTGGGCTTTCAAAGAGGTGGCTGGATCTGGAGTATAATGCTGGGATTAAGGGTGTGTGATTACTAAATCAGTCCACTGGTTGATTTGGCACCACCCTAATCCTGGTAGCCTAGATAGAGTATAAAAGGGACAGAAAGGGCTGGGGATTTAGCTCAGTGGTTTCGCTGCCTGCTACATAAGTGCAAAGACCTGAGTTTGATCCCCGGTACCAAAAAAAAAATAAATAAATAAATAAAAGGAACAGAAAGTAGCTGCTAAATTCCCTTGCTTGCTTTGCTACTGTCTGCCCGCCATGAACTGTTTCTCCCCCATGATGCTTGTCTGCCATGCCACCCTGCGGTGGAGCCAGCCCACTATGAGATGAAACCTCTACCAACTGTAAACCAAATAAACCTTTCCTCCCTTAACTTTGGGTGTCAGGTGTTTTTTCTCAGCAATGAGGGAAATAACTATGACACAGGTGTAAAGTCAGTTAAGCCTCAGAGCAATCCTTTGTGTCCTATTACAGAGAAGGAAAGGAGGTACAGATAATAATCTGCCTGCCATAACCTAGTGATTGAAAGGCAGAAAATCTGGTTCTAGAGCAAAAAACCCAATTGCTACACTAACCTGTTGAAATTACTGTATTGCCGTTAGTATTCTGTTGCCATCTTCAACACAACTCTGAAAAATGAGGATCATCAACTTAGAAGTATGGAATGCAAAGAAAAGGGAAATAATTGCATGCTGATAGCTGGTCCAGCTCAGAAATTTGGAACCATTCTTTCCCTGCAACTCAGAAAATCCTGTTGGCTAGAGGTAAAACTGTTACCACCCTCGCAAAGCATCTGGATTATTGCAGTAATTCTCTAGCAGGCCTTTTTTTCCTTGCCGTTTTAAGTTTCTAGTGTAGTGTCTCTCAATAGCCAGAGTGAACCTTTTAAAATATTGTCCAAACATAATTTGTTTGCCCAAATCCCCAAAGTGGCTTTTCAGTGATTTCTTGTATCACTCTATCTAAAACTCCAACATCCTGCATCATTATCCCCACTCCCTGTCCCTGCTTTTTATTGTGTCTGTAGCCTTTATCATTGTGTATCATATTTGACTTCCTTATCTCCCACTTGTTTGGATTTTTTAGAGTCTACACAGCGCTTGGGACACAGAAAGCACTCAATATATATTCGCTAAATAAATAAATTTAACATGTTTGCTCTATAGACACTTATGATAAGTTCCGTACTTTTCACAGTTTAAATTATTTTTCCCGGTTTTGTGGTACTGGGGATTGAACCCAGGGCTTTCGAATTGAGTTACACCCCCCTCAGCGCTTTTTAAATTTTGAGACAGGGCCTGGCTAAATTGCCTAGGCTTGACTTGAACTTGTGATCCTTCTGCCTCAGCCTGCACAACCATGCCCGGTCCGTTAGACTTAACAGCTACTATGTGCGAACTTTCTGCATGTTTCATTTAGTTCTCAAAAGCCACCTTTGATGGGACCTGAGATTTAGCTCAGTGGTTTCGGAGCCTATTGCGCAAGCGCAAAGGACCCGAGTTCGATCCCCGGTACCAAAAGAAAAAAAACCCCACCTATGATGTAGTCTACCATTTCCATTTAGAGGACAAGAAACCTATTTCATAAAACACACGTTTTATTAGAGTTGGTTTTTGTTTCCCTAGGCTTGTTTCTTTACGAAGGGACTGGTATTAATCCTGACCAGCCTTGAAGAATTTGGCGTTCCGGGCCAGGGATGTAGCTCAGTGGTTCCGGCGCCTGCCGCGCAAGCACAAAGACCCAAGTTCGATCCCCGGTACCACAAAAAAAAAAAAAAAGAAAGAAAGAAAAAGAAAAGAATTTGGCATTCAGTCTAACCAGAGATTAAGGGAGGGAAGAGGGGAGCAGGCGTCCATAACAACCATGGCGACTGGACGCGCTTGAGCAAGAACCTGAAGGCGAGATCATTTATAAGGCCAAGTCTTCCACATTTATATACACCCATCAAATCCGAACGCAGAACACTACCAGAAGGCAGACTCGTCCTTCGTAGTGAAAAAAATACCCGAATCCAAACGGTAACAGAGGGAGACAGACCGCCGAAAACACACAGCTTCCGGAAACAAGTCTCACCTGACACTTCACTCAGCTTCCGAAGCTGGCTCCGCCCGGACCCTTTTATGCGCGACCCGACCATCCCGGAAGTGAGGCGGAGCTCCTAGACGTCTGCATCCAGTGAGCGGAAGTATGTGTTAGTGGCTCTCGGGCAGCTCTGAATTCTTACTGTCCAGCGCGCTCGCTCTTTTCGGCTGAAGTCGGGTTTGTGCGTGGAATGGCTGTAGACGTGAAGTCTCGAGCAAAGCGCTATGAGAAACTGGACTTCCTCGGGGAGGGACAGGTGAGAGCTGGAACTGGATTGAGAGGACATAGAGGAGAGAGACCGAGCCGCCTCGGCCTCTGCGGGTTGCGCTGGAGCCGCGGGACTGACCCGGCTACTCGTCCTCCCTGCTGCCCCTCGTTACTTCCTGGGGGGCCCCTGGGGCGTTCCCTCCTTCCTGAAGAGCAGGCCGGAGCGGGACGTGGACCGCGCGACCGCGTTCCAGGCCCCAGCGCGCCCGCTAAGAACCCGGGTCCTCTGCGAGCGCACGCACCTCGGCCCCAACTTGTCCCTCTCTTTCTAGTTCGCCACAGTTTACAAGGCCAGAGACAAGAACACCAACCAGATCGTCGCCATTAAGAAAGTAAGTGAAAGGCTCAGGTATTTTCCTCTTCGTCTCCATGAATGTGTCCGGGTGGCCGGTTTTCCATCCTTGGCCACACTGATAACGCGGTTACTCTTGTCGTTTCCAAGATGATAGCATTACTCGGGGCCTTGTGCTCCAAGATGGAGCTCTGGAGTTGAACTAGTTTTCGCTGCATTAATGTGAATTACAAAGAAAAAGCACTATGTTATTTTTGCTGCATAGACTCGGACGTCAGCTGAGGGGACAAGAGCCGCCCCATCTGTTGAGTCCTCAAAACTAGTTGATACCATTATCTTTCCAGGTCACTGGGTTTGCCTCACTGCGTCCACTCTGTGTCATAGTTGTATAATCTGTGCACAAATTTACCACGAAAGGCCTTCGGGAGCTTTAACAGTACTGATGTGCATTTTCTTAAATGATTTAAGTAACTTTTGTTTGGTAATTTTTTTTTCGGTACCGGGGATCGAACTAAGGACTTCACGCTTGTGAGGCAGGCGCGGTGCCACTGAGCTAAATCTCCAGCCCAGAGTAACTTTTGTTTTGGAGACAGGGTCTTGCTATGTAGCTCAGGCTGGCCTTGAATTTATGGTGATCCTGCCTCAACCTCTTGAGAGTTGGGATTACAGGTGTGCGCCACCATGCCTGGTGCGCATCATTTCTTAAGTGTGTGTGTGTGCGTGTGTGTGTGCGTGCGCGCAGTTTTGTTTCTTTTTTTCATCCCCAGTTTTAGACACTATCTGGCCTTTCTATTCTGTTTGCTTTTGGTTTTGGTAACGGGATCGAACTCAGAACCTTGCAGAGGCAGGCTGGGGCACCGCTGAGCTAAATCCCCACCCCTAGCCCTTTCTATTGTGAACATTAAGGATTTGGTGCTATGGATCTCCCCTTTTAAAAACATAATTTCGGGCCAGGGATTTAGCTCAGATTATATCGAATTTATTTTTTGTGGTGCTGGGGATTGAATTTGGCCTTGTCCATGGTAGGCAAGCACTGGATCCTGAGCTACATCCCTGACCCTTTTTACATTTTAATATTTTGAAACAATCACTAAGTTACTCAACCTGCCCTCAAACTGATGACTCTCCTGTCTCAGCCTCTTGAGTAGCTGGGATTACAGGTGCATGCTACCACACTTGGCTCACATTGAATTTATGTTTCTGTTTCCCAGTTTGTATATCTAATCCCTTATTGGTGGTCTTTTAGATTATTTCTCATTTTTCAGTATTTGTCTCAAACATATGTATATCAGAATGATATTAATATTGTATATTTTCAAACAGTATGCATCTGCATAGGTGTATATTTGTATAGAGGATGTATTCCACAAATTGGTTTTTTTTATTTGTTTGTTTTGGTACTGGGGATCAAATTCTGGACCTGGCTCTTGGGAGGCAGCTGGCGGAACCACTGAGCTTAAATCCCTGGCCCTGCAAATTGTTTTTTCTGAATCAACATTATTTCAGAAATCCTCCATACTGTTACATATGCGTAAGGTTTATTCTTGCTCATTGGTGATTAGATTCTGTTGTATGACACTGATATTTTTTTGGCAAAAATAAAACTGTTTTACATCGAATATTTCCATGCTCTTTGACAGTTTAAAACTACATAAGCTGAAAATTGTAGATCTAGGTTACAAATCTGTTTCTGCATTTAGTTTTATTACCCTATAGTTGCTTACCACCAAATCTTTCATATAATTGCCTGCCCACACCTTAGTTATTTTTAATTCATGTTCTCCATTGGCGGCAGTGAATCAGTCAGCTAATTTTTCAGAAAAAATTCTTGGTTGGTGAACTTTCTTAACGCCTGGATATCTGAGAATGCTTTCCATTTATTTTGCCTTCATACAGAAATAACTTGGCAGGATATATAACTCTTGGTTCACTAAAACTGTAGCAATTGTTCCATTGTCTTCTGGCATTTAGAATTGCAAGAGAAAAATCTCAGGTCACCCTGACTTTTGTCCTTTTATGGGTAACCTGGTTCTCTGTTTGGATATGTGCAGAATTTTTTTTTTATCCTTGATATTTAAAAAAGTCAGCAGAAAATGTCTAGCGGTGTTTTCTTTTCATTAAACTTGCTTATTGGTTTTTGTCTTTAATGCCCTGTAGTATAAGATGTTTAACACTTCCAGCTTTTCTCTGGAGACTGATCTCTTTCAGGAGGAGGTAGTTAGTTTCTCAGTTACTGAGTTCTGTGCTCCTTCCCTTTCCTTCCTTCCTTCCTTCCTTCCTTCCTTCCTTCCTTCCTTCCTTCCTTCCTTCTTTCCTTTCTTTTCTTTCTTTTTTGTTCTTTTCTTCTGAATTGTAGGATTATGACCTTTTCAGCAGCTTTCCTTAGTAGTGGGATCCAATAATTCACGGCAGTCTTCTAAAGCACCAAATACGAAGTTGAAGAACATTCAGGAGGGTTTCTGTTTTGTCATCTCTCAGTGAAATTTTCTAGTCACATTCTTCTTTATAGATATTTAGGGTGTTTGTGAATGTTTTCCTGTAATCTAGTCCTCTCTGGACACTGAGTTGTTGTTATTGTTGTGGTGGCGGCGATGGTATTTTTAGTTGTTTTGAGACAGGGTCTTGCCATGTAGTTCATGCTGACCTTGACCTCATGTAGCCCAGGCTGGCCTTGAACTCACATCAAATCCTGCCTCAGCTGCCTGAGTGCTGGGATTACAGGCATGCACCACCATGCTGAGCACCGTGAGTTGTCTTTTGTGCATGTTTGTGTTTCTCTGGAGAACACAGTTAAAACCAATCATGAATTGTTGCCTCAGTATTTCAACATCAGCTTCAGCAGATAAGGTCAAATTGCTCTCTAAAATAGTTAGACCAGTTTTCTTCCCACCACATTCTCAACATCGTTTGTATTATCAGACTTTCTGACATTTATTATCTGGGTCAAAAACAGCATATTTTTGCTCAGTTAAACTCTCTGATTGCATCATCTTTTTTTAGACTTATTGACTTTCTTAGACTTTCTTCTATTTTTCTGTGAATTACTTCTTTCATTGTTTTGGTGGTTTTGGGGATAGAACCCAGGACCTCACACATGCCACCAGTGACCTGTATTTCTGGGCTGGGTTGCTTATATATTTTCTCTTTCTATTGATTTAAAAAAATTCTTTTATTTTGTTTGTTTGTTTGATTTGGTTTGTTGAGACAGGGTTTCCATATGTAGTTCAGGCTGTCCTTGAACTCACTGTGTAGTCCAGGCTGGCTTCAAAGTCATGGCGATCCTCCTGCCTCAGCCTCCTGAGTGCTGGAATTATAGGTATGCCCCACCATACCCGGCTTCTTTGTATATTCTAGATATTGATCCTTTCTCAGAAATATGCATTGCACATACCATCTCCCAGTCTTTAGCTAGGCTTCTAGTTTTCTTATGGTATCTTTTAAGGTACTGAAAGTTGGATTTTAATGTGGTCAATTTTCATTTTTTTCCCTTGATAGGTTTACTTGTGTGTATTTCTTCCAGATTATATGGAATTTTCCTTTATTTTCTTTCAAAAATTTAGAAGTATTTTAATGTTTAGATCTTAATTCATCTACAGTTAATATTTGTACATTATATGATATGCAGATCTAATGCTTTTTTCCCTAGCTGTCCCAACACTATTAATGACCTGTTCTTTTTTTTTTTCCCAAAATATTCTTTTGTTTTTTTGTTCTTTGATACAGGGTCTTGCTATATAGTCCAGGCTGGCCTCCAACATGGCAGCCTTTCTGCCTCAGCCTGAGTGCTGGGATTATAGGTGTGCACCTCTATGCCCTGCTGATAACCTGTTCTGTTCCCCTATATACCTGGGGGATAGGTTTTGTTATATACTTGGGTCCATTTCTGGGCACTCTATTCTCTTCCAATGACTAATTGTTTTCATTCCTGCTGAAATACTATAATATTTTTCATTACTATTGGTTTCTTTTTTTTGGTACCAGGGGTCGAACTCAGGACCTTGCACTTGCAAGGCAATCGACTATTGGTTTCTAATAAGTTTTGAAATCTGTTAAGTTCCATATACTGTACCTTGTTTTTCTTGTCTGAATTGGTCTTGGCTAGTATATGAGCCAACTGGGAAATTTGAAACCATCAGGAAAATTTGACTAGGAACCACTCCTAGGTATTAGGTGCTACTATGGCATTATTGTTAAGTTTGAAAGTGGCCTTATGGTTATGCAGGAATGTCCAAGTCTTTAGAGATGCTTAACGTATAGGGATAAAGTGATATGAAGTATAGGATTTGCTTTCAAATATTTTACCCAACAAATGAGAAAGGGTGAATGAATGAAGTAAGTGTAACATACTAGTTAGTCACTGTTACATCCAGGTACTAAGTAAAAGGCTTCATGAGATTATTCTTTATTATGTTTGGAAAATGCAATAATTAATTTTTTGTGTGTGTGTATGGAACCAGGGATCAAACTCAGGACCTTGCCCTTGCCAGGCAGGTGCAGTGCCACTGAGCTACATCCCCGGCCCAATAATTAAAAATTTTTGCTCTTTTTTATTTTGTTCTTTTTCTTATAAATTTTAGAATCAGTTTGTCGCTTTTCTGAGTGATATAAACATACACACACTGTTAGGTGGGTGCTCTCTTTTATTTATTTTTCTCTTCTTTCTCTTATTTATTTGACAGTGCAAAGGATTGAACCCAAGGCTCTTCTCTAAGCCATACCTACAGCCCCTTTCCTTTGTGATTCATGATTCCCATTCTCCTTTTGCCTCCTAGTACTAGCTACGTGTGAGTTACTACATATTCTTGCTGTAGCTAAATTTTAAAGTGTTTATAGATTATGTTTTAAGTCTAGTGCACACCTATAAACCCAGTATTTGGGAGGCTGAGGCAGGAGGATCACTGTGAATTCAAGGCCAGCCTGGACTATGTAGCAAGACCTTGTCTCCAAAAAAAAAAAAAAAAAAATGTCAAACTTCTCAGATGAATAAGTAGAAACAGGAAATAAATGTATGAAAAAATGTTCAACACCGTGGTCATTGGT